ACGAATGTACGTACTTTTCTTCCCAAGAATGACACCACTTGTGGTAATAACCTTTCAATCACATCAGTGAACAGCCACAAACTCATTCAAACTAAGGCTCAGCTCATTTCTTCCATTGAACAACACGTTTCAGTCGCGGCCACCGATACAACACACTTAACGACAAGTGAAATGTCACGGACTGAAAAAAAAAAACTCTTTCGAATTTACCGACAGACTATCAAACTTTCACCTGAGTTCATAAGGATAGATCAAATGAGAGAGATTTTTTTTCAACTTTTTGAAGTAAGTCACCTTTCCTGTTATCAAGTAAGTTTCTAAGTAAGTGTATGTATGTAGGCAGCCTTGGTGAGAAAGAGAGCAAAGTGAGAAGAATACTCTGGTTATTATACTGGCATCTAACAGTGATTTTTTTGATTTCGCGGAGGCTATATTCCAAATTAGATATATATGGCTCGATTAATGACTAGAAACAGTCTAGTGCTTTAACTTCAATATATTTAGAGCTATATCCAATTGGAATTCAATTTCAAGTATTGTAGATAAAATGGAGGCAATCATATCACAAATCCAAGTAGAATTAACATTGAGATCTTACAGAAAGTATATGATTACTGACATGTAGATATCACTATACAGAGCTAGTCACACGAATCACCGGTATCTATTTAATATGCTTTATACTCGGGACAAATCATAGTTCTATAATTAACATTCACCTAACAGTATTAAATCCCATTCAGACGTCTAAATGTATTTTCGAATAGTAAGAAAATAATAACAAAATAATAATATAGCTCATAATGTAAGCTCTATAAGTCATAACATAGTTTATTAGTAAGAGTTTGAGCCATCATTCACCGCACATCAAGCGATTTTACGTTAAAAATGATCGTATTTTCAACTTTTGAATCCCTATCTTTTTCCATCAAATATTAATTAAATTGAAGGAAAACTTCAATATCCTATTAATAATTAGTCAAATTACTTTAAAAAGTTTATTAGTTATTATTTGCTATTTTATTTCATAGAATTTCAGTGATTTAAAAGAGAATAATGTGAAAATCCTTAAAAATCGTGTATTTTATATGGAGAAAACGTTACAAGTTAATAATTTTCAAAAGTTTCAACTTTAGAGCTTCATTCGTTAATCTCGAAAATAGTGAAAAATATTCTAATCATTCTTTTTATTTTAAATTATATTTGAATACTATTATATATAATTTCAATAGTTTTGTTTATTAATTAAAAAGTTATTTGATATTATAATTTATATGAGAAAATAGCTTTTTTACGGGGATTTTATTACGAAATCGCTTAGTATGCGGTGAGTAATGACTTAAACTCTTACGTATACTATATCAATACATATACTACTTTCACCTCAATTTATACTCTTCAACTTCAATATATGAATTATTAACAATATAATATGTAATGAAATGAAATGATCAAAAAGACTAATAGAATAGCTTTATCACAATCATTAAGATGCCCTCTACAAAAAAGCTTTAAATATATCAATTTGTAAAACAATAAATTAAATTAAAAACACATTTTGATTATATTTATTATTTTCAAAGATTCTCTATAAAGGTTCTAAGCTCATTGAAAAGTGATTTCGATTACAATTTCTATAATTTTGATAAAACAGGCTTTATAAGGAATGTAATATGTTCTAGAATAATAATATTAATACTAAATAAAATAATAGAAATAAGATAATATAATTAAACAATAAAGAATAAACTATAACAGTTATATTTAATAATAAAAAGAATAAAATTATTCTCTTATTTCTAGTAATTCAAGAATAAATTCATCTTTTCAATTAATATATTAAAACTAATTTTCCTATGGATTAGATTATCAAATTTATATTTAATAAATAAACAAATAATAAAACAGATTTAGAATAATTAAAATACTTTAAAAAGTATATTAAGAATTGAAGAAAAGATAAATAACAAATATTAATATTAAATAAATATTAAAACTATAAATTAAAAGCTTTGTAAATATATTGTAAAAAAAAACAATATTATATATTTAGGTTTATTATTAGATTCAAGTTATTTAATTCAACTATTTGATATAAACTATTTTAATAATCTAAAATGTTTATATAGTATTCAATTAATGAATTTATTAAAATATATATTAATTATTTTTCGAAAATTAAATTCTTTATAACTTTCAAAACTATATATCAAAAATCAATTATAATTCAGAATATAAAATTAGAATTTTGAAGAATAGATTTAATATATTTTAATTTTAAAGCTATACTTTTGAAATTAAATATTCAAATTTATACATTTACTCTTCCTTTTTTCAATTAAGATTTATAAACCTTTCAAGCTCCTTACAATTTAATTAAAGCTTTATCATTATTAATTTTAATAAAATCTTAAATAACTTATTATTAATTGAGCTCTTTTATATTTATTTTCGAAACTATATTAATTTTAATTGAAAATGTAAAAAGATTAATTTGTAAAAATATATTTTAAAGTGTAGAGATTTGTATATTTTAAATAGTAAATGAAATATTAAGAAGAGAGTATTAGACAGATGAATATAACCCCTTTCAATCCATACATTTTGTGTATACACCTTAGAAAGTCTGTCCAACAGTGAGGCTGGTTCAGAATCCAGTTCTCCTGATGCCACATGTCCATCGGTCCATCGCCACAGCTTTTAGAGGGTGTGCTGCACTGGGCAGCCGATGTCCCCTCATATAATGCATCAGCATGTCCTTCGTTCGACAAGTCGAATCTCAATGAGTTTTCTTTCTTCAAATGAGTTCTACAACTTCAGGATATCAATTCAACAATGCTTTGGTAGGTACCCGCAATGGATATGTCGCGGACTTCTATTGCGAAGAATGTACAGCGAGTACATGAGCTCAGCCACACCCACAATTTGAGATATCACAAAAGCTAAATAATTGTTAAAACATTTTGGAGGATTGTTCCACTCGTACTGGATGCCCAAAGAAGCGATTCCCATATCAATTGATATTCGTGGCGACGACCTATCCGCGAACAATTGTTTGTGATGATCTTTTTTTCCGTAAGACTTCAATCGTTCGCCGTTTTGGGAAGAGTTGCGAGCAGATTGCCTAGTGGGCTTACTTGCATGTGAAGAATGCTGATTTCTCTTTGATATAAAAGTATATAGTATGAATCCCGATAAGTGGTAAGTGTTGATTTCTTAGTACTTTCCTTGTACAATTGTTTCTTTTCGAAAGTGCAAGATGACAACAGCAATTGAAGGGAAAGAAGAGGTAAGATAGTGTCTATCTATGGATTTCTTGACGTGCATTAATGAGGTGTGCTTTTATTGTACTTACTTGGCGGTTGAAATAGAGAGGGGGGGTTGAGAGGGAGATGTCTCATCCTGAGTTGGTTTGAGGATGTCGTGTGAGAAAGCGATCCATGGGTACATACAACAAAGAGGTGTTTGATAATGATTCTCGAAGTTGCGGATGAGGAAAAAGGGGGTTCGATGTGGTGTTCCGCGTGTGTGAAGTTTTTTTAAAGTGGGAAAGTTGAAGATGAGATATTTCGAAGGATACTATGGAAGAGAATGTGTACTTAGGTTTACAGACTAGCGCCTTACTTACATCTATGCTATATCATCCAAGCTCTTGAAAGATGACAGAAATATAAATAGACGTCTATTCTCTCACCCAATCTAGCGGAAATACATTCCCTGCTCATGAACCTACCTACTCATCTCCCGCTCCCCAGTCAAGACCACATTAGCAATCCAACCCTCCAGAGTCCAAACCCCCAAAAAATTCAAAAATATTCATTCCCCCTCAAAAACCATCAAAACTACCCTTCCCCCCCCCAACCTCAAACTCCCCCCAAAAATTTTCCGGTACGGGGAATTGAACCCCGGTCTCCCGCGACCTTTATGAAGCCACCAAGGACTTCCCATGAGAGGCGGAAATGCTAGCCACTACACCATGCCGGATTTATTGATTGATTGTATTTGATGAAAAACATGGTTGGAATGAATAATATATCAAGCAGATTTGTTTAGCGAGAAAAGTTTTCTGGAAGAGTTTTTTTAAGCGAGGAGGGGGTGGGGTTGGGGTCCACTTCTTGGGAGATTTGAATTGGTTTGGTCTGGTTTGTATGAGTAGAAAATCGATAGGAGAGGAAGATGGTGGAGATTTGTGTGGAATGGGGGGGGTGGGGGGTTCGTTGTTAGATGTGTGTTTTGCGGTTGATTTGATTATTGATTGTTGAGTGGAATTTGGTGGGTGAGGAAATTTGGATTTTGGGAAGTAGGGGGTGTGTAGCCAGTTTACTTGCCTAGGTATACGCTTGCTATTCGAGCGCTGGGAATTGTACTGCATGATCTTGCTTACGTGTTATGTAGTAAAGATTATGATCAAATCGGTAGTTAATGAGATCTATTAATTAAACCTTATAGTCTGGTAGATATGAACCACGATTTGGTCTGCAAAAGAGCAGTTTTTCACATATTTCCGGAGATTTGAGATAATGCGCTTCTGCTGAAATACTTGGCATGAGACTAAAGGACGGAAGCTGGATGGAAACTTCACAGTACATTGGTTATTGCATCTCTGTATAAAACTTGGGCCGGAGAACTAGTCAACGACAGATCGGATGAAAGCACATTTTCGAAAATCTTGATGTCAAAATTATATTGGATTCATTCTCCGGTTGTAATTCCACTGAAGTTTGGATTCCATTCTTCATACCTAGATACATTTCTCTTGGCCTGGATGCTCATCTTTACTAGCATTATTATCATGACCATTATAATCTCTCCTTTCTGGCTACAGCAGTTATCATCTGGCAAGTTTTCCCAATTTGAAAGCTCCCCATCCAAGGGACCGAATCTAGTGGAGATGTGATTGAAAATTCTTGATGCTGGAACTCGATATAACTCTGTACAAATCGCCACGCGGAAATCTTCAACAACTCCCAAATCCACACCCCTCAACCTCATCCCAAAGTCTAAGTAAATCTCCTCGAATTGCCATTCCTAACAATCGGAGTAACCCAACCCGGATCAAGATAATTACCAGAATAAGGATTACTTCGAGGACGACCAGTGGTATTATTCGGGCTTATGAATCCTGCGGACCAAGAATCACCTGTGGATGGGTGGGTGAACCATGATGATCTGTAGTTGGAATAGTTGGCGGTTTGAGATGTGGTGGCATTGTCGTCTTGGATACGGGGAGTCGAGAAGTAGGATCCCATTGTTGGTTGCTGGGTGTTGTTTTGGGATGAAAATTTTGAGGAAATGTAATGTTGTGATGTGAAATTTCTGAGTATCATCAGAGGAAGGATATGAGTACGGAGGATTGCCCTTTTATGTTGAGTAGACTTGTAGATTAGAAGGCTGAGAAAGTTCCAGTAGACTGTTTGTTTTGATCTGAATGATTCCAGAAACTCGATTGCCAGAATGGTCTACGGAAAAGTGCGCTTCCATGGCCTTCCCGCGTCTCGCCTCTCTTCCTTACAAACTGATCAAGTGAAGTTTGTTTCATAAGGATCAAAGTGATTATTCGAAATACACGATAGAAAGATGTGAAAGCACATGATTAACGAATGAAGTACAAGTCAGAATGCAACACCAAAAGATGACTTGCAAAATCTGTTCTTCAAGATAACTCCCAAGCGAAATCGCATATCAGTCCTACTTTCATCAAGTACATCTCACAAGCGCTTATTGCCACATTGACTTCCAACGACTCACTCCCCCCAACTCAAGCTAAATAATCTTTCTTGTATCACTTCCATCCCTTCTCTACTCACAATTGATTCTCAAGATCTCAACAAGAAAATGATAAATCGGGTACCCTATTTTCAGGCCATCCCCCTTTTGAGCCACTTTTTACACCAAAAATGGAATTTTTAACTCTTTTATTTATAAATAGAATTTATTGAAAATTTGTATATATATAATTCAGATTGTGTTGAATTTAATTTAAAGTTTTTAGATTTTTAGGATTTTTTTATATTGAAATCTAAAACTTCAAAATATTGATTTTTAAATTTGTATAGAAATTATATATAAATTTAAAACTTTTATAAAATCTTTAATAATTTTTTAATAAAAATTATTAAAAATAAACTATAAAACTTTATTATAAGTTTATAATATATTTATTCTAAAGGATTTAAAAAAAGAAAATTTTCTATAAATAAATATTTAAAAGAATATTCTTAAAATTATAGGGATTATTTATATTATTTTAAATTTACTATATATTATATCTTTATATCTATTAATTTTTTTTAATTTTTTTTTAATTTTTATATAAATTTAAATTCAAAACTTTTAAAAAGATATATAGTTTTCTTTTAATAATAATTATTAAAAAGTTATTAAAGATTTTATAAAAGTTTTAAATTTATATATAATTCTTATATAAATTAAAAAATCGATATTTTAAAAATCTGAATCTTAATATAAAAAAATCCTAAAAATCTAAAAATTTCAAAATAAGCTTAAAATAGTTTAAATTATATATATTCAAGTTTTTATTAAATTAGATTATATATTTATAGAGATATTAATAGACTAAAAAAGCGATTTTTAATAACTTATAAAAAGGTGGCCCAAAACAGGAGTGGCCTGAAAGTAGGGTGGTCGATTTATTTCAGTGTGGTTTTAGCATTTACTTTTATCAATTATATAGAAGAGAAGGAAAATCGGGCTTCATATGAGTTGCCGGAAGAGTTTCCAGTCGTGCTATGAGTACTCTCAGATTGGAAATAGCTCGATCCGAATATGAATGAAAAGATAGAGGCCACGATTTAGGTGGCTAGTGAGACGTGATAGGTCTAGAATGTAGATGATCTAGTCAAGAATTGATATTATGCTATTATCACAAGATTGAGGTTTCAGGCATGAGTATGCTGTAGAACTGTTTGGACACGGAAAAATTTGTGTGATATGTGTATATATGTCTATATACGTATTACATCCATATATTCTGCAAGGAGCTTTCATGAATTGTATACTATTGTGCTTTGCATATTAAAACATACGTTGCTTATGGAACCGGCTGGCATGGTCTACCACATACACCCTAAGATTCCAAGAAAGAAACAAAAGGCACCAGAGCACTCGTAAACTCTATCAAACTACTTCTCTTGATTTGTGTAGCTAATCATAACCCAACTCTAGAGAACTCTAGCCATACGTGTATCATGCAAATCTTACCCAGCAGTAGTCCTGTCATTGGCATTCGATCGTCATCCAGTGCTCGCGATGGGCGAGTTCCGCACCTGTTCTTGCAAGACCCAACCCAAATCGTCATTCCCCCAAAACTCCTTCGTGCTACCCCTACCCAAACGCAGTACTAAACATACAAATTAAGAAAACTCTCTTCATCCCAAATCTCGATCCAAACTTTCCAAGCAACAACCCCATAAACCGCCAAAACAGCCAAACCAACTCCAGTAGGAACTCCAAACACATACGAAGAAAGATGTCCCCAGAACATGCCCAAAGCCAATTTATAAATGCCATACTTGACTTCTCGATTCCTCAAATTTTGCAAGCCAGCGACCATTTCCAACGCAACCCTATTTCTCACACAGGTAGTCGAAGTTAGATTATCGAGATGCGGTTTCCAGAGAGTTAGGAAATTGGTATCGCGGTTATTTACTTCGAAGATACGGTGGATGAGGGTGAGGATTTTGTTGTCTTGGTTACGGGGGGGAGTGGGAGGGGAGAGATAATGTGATGTCGGTATTGTGGATGGGGGTTTATTGATGGGTAGGGGGGTTGTAGGTCTCGAGGCTTGAAGCAGCGCGGCTTCAGCACTTATGGGATCTTGCTGTGGGATGGATAATAGAGGTGGGCGACATTTTTGGTCTGCTGGGTGAAGACCACAATGTGCCATTATTAGGGGCGTACAATCGGAAGCAGAATCTTGACGATGTGACCGTACTTCGTTCGCAAGAGAAGATTGCATCTTTTCAGATTTGGTATCAGGACCAGAGACGATGATTTTTGGAATTGCATTATGAGACTGCATACTTGCGGTTTGAGTTGTAAAGTTGCGTGTCAGTTTTGTGTCTTGATTTGATTTGTATGGGGAGGGACCTCTTATGGATGGCTGTGTGATATGGAAGTTCAAACTGTTTGTGTGTATTTGCGGTTCTTGAGATGAAACACGCGGAAGGATCTCGAAGCGTCGTCAAAGATTTTATATCAAAGAGAAGAGTCTGAGAAAACGCAGGGGTTGATAAGTGATATGTTATGAAATATGTCTACGTGGAAATCTGATACAATCTACAGCCATTTTTTTTTGTTTTTTTTTGAAAGAACGTCATATCATAACACAGTAGATCAAAACTATCCGTCATCATGTACTCAAGAAATTGCAGAAATGTCAAGATTTAGATTCCAAATTCACCTAATGCTACCTCATCTTCTCCGAAAGTTGCATAACCATCCAACACAAGTTGTTTTGTTTTCTGTCGATGGCCACGAGAATATCAGGCCTATGCATAACACAAGAGACACAGCCAGTGCTGGGAATACGCCGATATATATTCCGGAAGGTTGATGTTGAACGGTCAATTTTGTGCATGTACACAGGTGTTCAGGCTCGGTGATTGCTACTTCTGCTGAAGGAGATCCTTGGCTTTGGAGCCATGTGGCTCGAAATCTTCCCATAGTCTGCTGAAATTGGATGTGGTGATGGTTTGACGATGTGACAGGTTGATGTAATCGAAGTTTGTGAACAGAGGAAAACAAAAAAGGCATCGTAATATATACCTGAGAGAGATGTCAACAGGGAAAGAAAAGGACTGATGTGGTTAAACTAAGAAAGTAATCCGGTCTGACGAAATGATTTAATGTGCTTGATCCATGATTCTCTCACACGAACCCTCTCATGTCCTCGCTGTACTTCTAGCACTGCACATAGGTCGGTCTGGTATCCCAACCAAAAAAACCCTGACAAGTCTCGCGTTGCCTAGAAAAGCAGCATGTCTGAGAGAACTAGATCAATTAAACAATTCAGCGTATAGGAATCGAATCGAATTTCTCTGTGAGCACAATCTTTCAAGCGAGTTCTTGATCGAACTCCAATCGCTTCAAAAAGACTCCTCAGACTTGCATATTCTGAGACAAATAGATGACAATACCAATGCTATCCAGTTGGAACAAAGAGACCACGGGAATATATTTGGATTCCCAAACGGACTTTTGATCCCAGATACAAGACAAGACAACTTCCCCAAGTCTTTCCATGACGTAGTATTCTGACTTGGGAACTTGACAGGTGACTGATGAGACATCTTTGAGTATGACCAGGTGTGAATATTGTTATAGTAGTGTGAGGTAATTCATCGCTAACAATACTAATGTGTAGTCCGAACAGTGAAGATACTAGCCTAAGTATAGCTTATTCTAAAACGCATAACCTCAAACAACACAATTGCTGCGAAGATCGTAGATCATCCGACTAGGAAAGTCCGCATGAGAGGCGACCTTTTCCGAATCATAGCAAACCTCAAAGACTCAAATTGTCAAAGAAGTAAACACCCACCCCCTACAACCATTCCTCCAAGCGCTGAAAAAATCCCCAAAAATCCCCTCCTCCCTCTCCTGCCCCAACATCACCAACAGCCCCATAAACCAACAAGCAAAACGAAGCCAACGCCAACCAAATCACCAAGATCAAGAATCCCGTTACAAACAAAACTACTTTGACAGCAGCACCTCCCCTCGGAGCTTGCGGATACGGCACCGATTTCGTAGGTGGGCTTTCAAAGTATTCTTCTCCGTGATTAACAACTCCATTCATGGCGTGTATGAATTCAATTTCATTGCGTGTGAATTTTGGACTCTCGAGAAAGCTGGGAATGTCTTCTTGGAGTTCTTTGATGATTTGTGAGAGTTCTTTATCTGGGTATTTGTGAGTCATTTTGGAGATCGTGTGTGAAGAGGTATTAGAGGGAGGGAGTCTGGTCAATTAATGTTTCGTTTTGATGACTTGGCTGGACTGAGTGTGATTGAATGCAAACTCGTATATGTTTATGAAGATTGTGAAAAACATATGGGGATGAAATCAAATTCAAGTGTGATATCTTTCAAGTCATGATTTTCTGTACAAAGAATATGTTTCTTTGTCTCAACAAAGCTGACTAGATGGACGTCCACCAATTCAGTCGAGATTCTTTGGCACATTAGTATTACTGATCAAACCTCTAAGAAAAGTAATCTTTCAACAATGTACTTCGCAGACTAACTTCCTTCTTCTGGCTAAACTCTAGTCATAAATCCCGCACGCTCTACAATGCAGGCTATGTGTTTCCGCCTCCCGTAACTTTTGACACATTTATCACCCTAGCGATCGCTTGAATATATAGCATTGTTATTCGAATATGTCTTCTCCCTGCAACAAAGAGGATAGCATCATATACCCTCGCAAACAACAGCAACTCTGATACAATGTAGCGAACATGTATATAGCACCCCAATATCAACATGCAATATCATACCATTCTACACACACAATCCAAACCCCAATTTCCTACATTTTCTCTCCATAGCAGCCTCAAAATCAACGTAAAATAACCCACCAATCATACACTACTCCCTACTCCCATTCCTACCCCTCCCTTCCCACTACCTCACTACCTCACACAAAAATCAAGAACCCTCTGCATCCCTATTAAATTTCATATTCCACATGCCGAGATTTTAACATTTCGACGCGAGATTTCGACATGAAATTTCACCTCGACTCTTAACTTTGATAAGTCGAATCACAACTCAAAATGAACGATAAACAGGTAGACCCTTTGCGTTTTCGAATTCGAATAAAAAGAGTAGAGGAAGAGAGTAAAAGAGAACAGTCAAGCGGGATTTACAACACTAATCGAGTACCCGAACACTCGCTAGAGTATTTAGAAGATATAAAAAATCCTCTTACTTGACTAAATCCCCAAGAGAGAATACGAGAACAGTAGAAATAAAAGATACCACAATATTGAAAGTCCCAGATATACAGAAAAGGGAAGGAAACACACGAATATAGATACAATATTTACAATTCCCTTGTGCTTTTAATTTTCAATTTTGTTGTCATACTTTGAAAATCTACATACGATATCTTTGAAATATACAGAGAGTGTACAACATGATCTAAGCTTTATATCAAACGACTATTATACCAGAAAACAAGCTCACCCATCTAACGATTCGATATTCATCCATCCGCCTCACCAACATTATCAACATTTACCCCCTCCCCCTCCCTATCCAGAATCCTCAACCCACCCCCCTCATCCCACGCAATTCTCCCCTCCAACGCCGCCCTCATGACCTCCCTCCCCGCAACCTCCTTCTCCCCCGTCACCGGATCCCACTCAAACCCCTCCTTCAACCACATCCACCTCAAAAACGCTCTCAACTCCTTATCCTCTGGAAGCACCCTCATCCACTCAGGTTGAAAACCTTCTCCCTCACTGCCCTCGCCATTCCATCCCTTCGCTTTCTCCAACAACAAATCCCTACAGAAAATGCGCCAACTATCAATCGCATAGGGTCCCTGGGTCATGTGTCCGATTTCCCATCCCGTACGCGGGTCTACGGATTCTTCGGGAAGGACTTCGCTTTTCTTGACGTCGCGACCGAGTCCTTTAGTGGGGTAATCATGGACCGCATACCGTTTATTTTTTACTGGTGGGGTTTCGCAAAAGATTTTAGCGTAAGCTTGATAAGTAGCTGCGCGTTGATTTTGTAGGCCTAGGTGTCGGATTACTGAGACAATGTCTTCCTTGGGAGCATCGACTATTGATTGTGGGGTTGGGTATTGATCCATTAGAGTGTAGAAAACTGGTATGGCTTGTTTACCATGAGTGCGATTGAGAAATGTAACGGCTATGAGTAGTCGAAATGGATCGTGGGCAAGTCTTTCCTGGATGAGTCCAAAATGAGGTGCAGATAAAGGTGGAAAAGGGATACATGAAATTATGCCAGGAGGCCGTTTTTGGGGGGATCCCTTTTTTGGAGATGAATTTTTGTTTGTAGATTCTCCTTTCAAAGCTATGGATTTACTAGACTTGGATGGAGTGGAAGATAGTGGTAGAGCAAAGTAAGGTGAATACATAGGCGGTCTTTGTTTCTTTCCTGATCTCAGAAGACTAGGAACATCAACTTCAATCGTACCAAAACCGCTACTATCTGATGCTAGAAAGGGATGATCGGTTATGCTTAAATCAGATAGCTCAGAGGAGTCACTCTCATAAGCATCAAGATCGAGTGATTCTGTCTTCCTCAGGATAGGTAGTTCCATATTGTTAAATGATTGTAGCGTTTTCGACAGTGTTTGAGATTCGTGATTGAAATGTTCCGGGGATTCGCAGGTGATTGACTCGTAAAAATCATCATCATTATCATTATTGGTTCCCGTTATATCTGTTCCTCCCAATTCATCAACTGTGCCTTCATCAATTTCGTAGCTATGGTGACTCAAACTAATATCCAGAAGTTGACTACCACTCGTAGACTCTGGCTCTTCTACGAGTGGTTGGCTTTTGCCGATCTCCTGGTGTTCCTAGCTGGAGAATCAAGTCCTGTTGCTGAGGCAAGAACGGCAGCTCTAGCTTTTGGTACTCTTCCGCGTTTGGCTTTTGGGGATTTGGAATCTCCTGTTACATTAGGAGATTTGGGGGCAGTCTGAGCCTTGTTTGCTGCCTTCACTGGAGGCCTGCCCTTCTTTGCAACTGTCGCCTTTGTTTTTGCTGGTGCAGGTGATTTTGTAGGTGTTTTAACGTTTTGGTTCCTTGATGAGAGAGGTGTAGCTGCAGGTGTCTTGACCTTTTGGTTCTTAGATGAAGCAGGTGTTGCGGGTTTTGTTGGTGTATCCTCGGCCTCCAAGCGATTATTGTTTCTGACTCTCTTTCTTGAACGCTTCTTCGCACTTGCACTGGCCTCGACTTCCTCCTTGGGCTCGTCAACTTCCATATCTGAATCGGCTCCTGGTGCAGCGTTCTCCTTGGAAGAATCATCTTCGGCTTTGTCTTCTTCTTGAACGGCAGGCGATGTTTCCTCGCCATCTTCGGGGATCTCCTCATCTGCTTGCTCCTCATCTGCCTTATCATCGGAGGTTTCTTCTGCATTCTCCTCATCAACTGCTGTTTGCGATGGAGCGTCGGACTCGGCGGCAGACTCAGGAATATCCTCGGCGTTGTCTTCGATCAAATGATCGAGAGAAGGATATGCGACAACATTGGTGTTACCGACAGCTGGTTCAGAGGTTTCCTCTTCGGCCTCATTCTCTTCCTCACCATTGAGTTCGGGAGCATCCTCCATAGTAACATCGCCATCCAGTGTCTCCTTAGCATGGGCTAATGAGGCTCTCGCAGCAGCAATCTTTTCTTCCAGGCCAGAGGGCGCGACATTTCCCTTCTTGAGGTCCTTCCAACTGCGCTTCGATTTGATCTTCTTAATTTCCTCTTTTGCCTCTTCGACAACCTCCCCATTTACCTCCTCCTCAGCTTCCTCATCATCACCATCACCAATAACCTGCGCCTTTAATCCTTCTCCAAAGAATTGCGAGGTTTTCGGGCCCTTTGCTTTCTTATCCCAACTTCTCTTTGCTCCCTTCCCTTTCCCATTTCCATGTCCTCTCTTCAAATCCCTAACCTGTTTCTCCAACGCTTGAATTCTCTCTCTTTCCTTCCTCTTCTCCTCCGCATCCCTCTTTTTCGCCTCCGCCGCCTTCTTCTTCTCCTCTACCCTCCTCTGTTTATCCTCGGCCTGTTGTCTCAAATTCTCCTCATGTTTCTTCGCCTTTCCCTCTTTCTTTTGTTCGCTCAATCGAGCCGCCTCTTCCTCTCTAATCTTCTTCGCCTCTGCCTTTTCCGCAAACTTCTTTTCCCTCGCAATCGCCTCCTCAGCCTCTCGAACTATAGCCGCAGCTTTCTTAGGCAATTTTTTCTCTTCCTTTCTCTGTCTCTTGGCCTCGCGCTCGGCTTTGAAATCGCGTTTGCGTTTGTTGCTACCCGTAGCTTGTTCACCGTCGATTGGCGCAGTAGTTTCGTTCTGATTGAAAATTTTAGCTATGTTCTAGAAGTTCATCATGGTTAATGTAAAGAGTTGTGAACAATACCTCATCTTGAGACACATTCGTAGAAGAAATGATCTCTCCCTTGGCTTCACCCGCCTTTTCATTTGTCATTGTAACTTCATCAACTTTCTTTCCCATTGCGGCTTGCGATCCCGCCGCCTGAGTACTGTTTCGCTTTGCTATGTCTTAAAGGCTTGATAAAATTGCTCTTGGCAGATCAATTGATACAAAGATTAACAGCTAAAGACCGATGGATACAAATTTCAAGGCTAAAACCAGGAAAAAGAAATTTGTAAATAGTCTTGTGTCAAGAGCAATAAAGTTTACTAATAGGAAAAAAAAAAGTTTCCCGACTGGACTTGAAAATCTGGGGTATCAAGTTTTTTTATTTAGCGAGGGACTTTTTTCAGTTACTGCTCAATATTCACTCCGAAGGGTCCACTGAAATTACTAGTACAATTTGTATTGATAGGTATTCGAGAGAATGATTAATTGATATTGGGAGGCTTTATAGTTTCCAGGAGTGGTGATCTTGAAATTCAGTATGCAGGGTCTCCGTGAGCATCTTCGACAGTCGAATGGATATTGGGACACATCTATTTTGCCACCACTCTTGAGCATTAGCTCCCAAAGTGAAGCTTTTATCTACCACCCTCATTCAGAACTTCTCCTTTATACAATTCGCGCAGTAAGATAAAACTAGTAGCACATTTATTTCCTGCCCATCGCTCCCCCATTAAACAAAAGAAATTGAGAATCTAGTGATGTGCAGGACCGTTGCCAGTCTTAGGTGGGCTGTACACGATCTTTCGGGTCTTGATAGGGGACCACTTGTAACGCTTAACCCAAATGCTCAATGCGAAAAGCATAGATCCAATAACCAAAACCTTCATACCCATCTTCTTACGTTGATCCATCTCAGGCTCGGCTGACCAGTTGAGGAATTCGACAACATCCTTGGCCATTTGTGATGCTGATGCTGGAGTACCATCTTCATACTCAACAAGTTCGTTGTAGAGAACACGACCCATAGCAATACCGGTACCTGGAAAATATGGGTTGAAGTTAAGTCCTTCTGGAACCTTGGCTCCTGCTGGAGGCTCATCTGGGTAACCAGTCAACAAACTGAAAATGTAGTTGGCACCGCCGTGTCTGGCCTTGACCATCAAACTGAGATCGGGTGGCAAAGCTCCGTTGTTGGCAGCACGAGCGGCTTCATCGTTCTTGTATGGGGATGGGAGGTAATCGGAGAGTTTTCCAGGTCGCTTTTCGATTTCACCCTCATCGTTTGGCTCGCTGTCGTATTCGTTCTCTTCGGCCATAGCCTTTGCCTCATCGACTGTGTGTGTAACACCGACCAAAGCTCTGTATGGAATACGGCTCAAAGAATGGCATGATGCGCAAACCTCTTGGTAAACTTGGAAACCTCTTCGTAATCTATTCCCTTTTGTTAAAACAAGCCAATTTGTTTGATAGAAAGTGGTATTCTTACGCTTGGTGATCGAATGTCTTTGCGTATTGTTGGTGGACCCAAGGATATTGCGTTGGATGAAGACTGCTGTCGTATCAGTATTGTGTTCAATTTATATGCTGCTTGTCTTCAAGTCTTCATTTGATTCTGCCGGAGTTCCCATCACCCCACAAATATTCGACTTGACTTGGAAAGATATGTGACTACTCACCCTTCTTCAACTGGTGTCATAGCGTTTAATGGCTGGCCATAGAGATGATAGTACCAGGCGAGGGATCCTGCCGCCACTGCGGTAGCAGCACCTGCAGCCATATTGATACCAAAGGGAGAAGCGGCTTCGGCGGAAGTGGAAGTAGATGCGGCACGCTGTAAAATGTTACATCAGCCTTCAGTTCGTTACAATGAACTGCCCCTATGATATCACTGCCGCCCACATCGAAGTGTTGTATATCTTAACCTCGGGGATGGGGAATAATTTACCTTTGTAGCGTTAATTGCATTATTCCGTACTCCCCCAAACGAGCGCGTCGAGCGCAGGCATGATCTGGCCAACATATTGTGCAAAATATCCCTTGAGCTGGGAATCAGTTCAAGGTGAGTTTGACTGATCAATTGAGTAATGGGATTCGAGATTGAAGTTGTGAGGGTGCGGCGACAAATAGTTCGAAAATGATCCGAAAAAGAAGCTAAATTATGCCTTAGGCACAGGCTTACCACTGAATGGATTTTGATTGGTTGAAACTCTTTACACGATTATTTCTCGGACAACGATGGCTACAAAATCTTGAGTATTCAAATCATCCCCGGTAATATGGAAGTTCATGATATGATTTCTAAATTGTAATGGAGATATACTAAACGTCAAAAGTTTTTGTCTATTTCCTACGCTGTCATGTATTTTATCATTTGGTCAGATGTAATATTTGCACTTTGATGCTGACAAATTGCATTAAGCAAAACATGATTGGTCTTTTCATTCCCGAACAAATTATGCCACAAATTGACTGCAAAATTATCTATATCTATTGTTTTGCATAATGTAACTATTCAGAAATCCTTTTTTTCAAACCAAGAACTCCGTACTGACGAAGGATACTATGACTATGCTCGTTATGTGCGCCGCAATTCCCACCTAACAACCAAGCTTCTTGCCCAATTTTTTCTGTCCTTCAATTCCCATTTGAACCAGTCTTGAGCTCTCTTCTTTGCTTGACAGCGTTTGCTAGCTCTTCAAGAACCGACTCGGTGTCGTCCCATCCAATGCAAGCATCAGTAATACTGACACCATGTTTGAGACCGGACTTTCCTTCTTTTGGAACCTTTTGAGCGCCTGACGACAGAGTAAGCAAGTATTTCATCATATAAGATAGTTAGGTGATCTTACCTTCATTGATGTTGCTCTCAATCATGACACCCATAATGGCATCCTCTCCTGCAGCAATTTGTTCAGCCAAAACGGCTGCAACCTTGGGTTGGTTCTTGTGATTCTTCAACGAGTTTCCATGACTGCAATCAACCATCAATCTTTGTCTGACACCATTCTTCTCAAGTGCAGCCTTTGCCTCTCCAATGCTCTTTGCATCGTAATTAGTACCCTTAGTACCACCTCTGAGAATGACGAAGCAATCTTCATTTCCAACTGTACCAACAATGGCAGCGACACCAGGCTTGGTGACTGAAAGGAAGTGATGAGGATGTCGCACGGCACCAATTGCATCGATAGCGACACCAAGACTACCATCGGTACCATTCTTGAAACCAACTGGGAAACTCAATCCACTGGCCAGTTCTCTATGCAATTGACTCTCAGTAGTTCTAGCCCCAACAGCTCCAACACTCAATAAATCTGCCAAGAATTGTGGTGAAATAGTATCCAACATTTCACTAGCAATTGGCATACCCTTCGCAGTCAAATCCACGAACAATTGTCTGCTGATCCTCAAACCCTTATTGATCTTGAAGCTATTATCGATATCAGGATCATTGATGAGACCTTTCCAGCCAACAGTTGTTCTTGGTTTCTCGAGGTAAGAGCGCATGACAATCAAAAGATCATCTTCGTATTTGTTCTTGAGAGCTACGAGCTTATCGCAGTATTCGAGCGCAGCGGCAGGATCGTGAATTGAACATGGACCGATGACTACCAGTAATCTGCCATTCTTATCTGCGCCAGTCACGACATCGACGGACTCATTGCGACCCTTCAAAACTGTTGCTTTGGATTCTGGGGTTTGAGGAATTTCATGTTGAAGCAAATCGGGAGGCGTCAATGGGTTGTATCCTCGAACTATAGGGAAGTTTTGTCAGTCGCACTCTTTAACCCAAGCTGGATCAATCGGAATATCCAAAACTTACTGCGCCAATCTTCAGTACTGTCCTTGTGTCCAACGTTCTGGTTTTCTATGTAAAAGGCCTTGAATGAGTCAGAGTGGTTTCTTGTGAAATGAGGCATCTTGGATGAATGAGAAGAGTGTTTGTTTGGTAACTTACCGACATCTTCAGATAACTGTGCTTCCTTTATATATTGTTTAAATTACTTTTTTTCAATGGATAGATTTTTATGTTCAGTAAGTATGCTGAGGTGAGATTATTTTCTTTGAGAGTTAGAATTAATGGTTCTGGAAATCTGTACGCGGGGCAATCATTGAGAAGCTCGAGACGTATGATTCATCGCGCAACAAAAGGTTTAGCGATGTCATTCGTGGGGTCAGCCCCTGTAATTATTAACGTGGATCGTTGATTGGTCTAGAACCCACGCAACGGTGAAACAAAATCTTCAGAGGAATCAGAACCTCGTCGTACAGTGAGCATGGGTGGCTTCTACAGATCTCCGAGGGAAGATCTCCGAGAAATAAGTCTAAATTGTCGGTCCGGAGAAAATCTTACGGACGTCAAAGATTGATCTCCGAGGAAGAATAGGAAAAGAGAATTGATGTAAGCCATAATATTCCTCTAACCTTCTAATCAAAGACTTGCGTCTTCTATCTAGTCTTTACCGTAAGCCCAGCCCGTGTATTGCTATTGTAATTCTCACTCATCCGACTTGGCCAACAAGTCCGGGATATCATCGACAGTGTTTCTGCCCTCCAAAATATCTGATCTTGTTAGTACACGAAATCCTTGCAAGTATAGACTCAATGACTTACTAATGACAGCAGTAAATAATGGGTATTCGCCCTCCTTTCCTCTAGACTTCAAAAACTCATTGACCTCTTTTGCAGTACTAGTTCCTTGTAACTTTTGTCCATTCAATTCCGTGTTCTCAACTTCATCGACTGTCACTCCTCTTTCAATTGCCATCTTCGCACATCTGAAGTTTCGTCCTCCACTGCAACTTGTAATTAAATCGGCAACTCCAGCACTTTGTTCGGTGAAAGTACCACCATGGACAGTTTCTCCAAAGAATTCCTTGCCGAATTTAACCATTTCAAGGAGGCCCACCCGCATAACAGCCGCCTTTGCATTGTCTCCCCAACCACGTCCTTCAACGAAACCCGCAGCTAGTGCGACGATGTTCTTAAGAGCTCCACCAAGAGAGACACCTGCTACATCGGAAACCATCTGAACATGGAAGTAGGGACGATGGAATAATGTCTTGAATAAGGCGTGATCCATTGGCGGATATTCCGATGGTACGGCCTTCAACTTTGTCTTGCTGACTCTTCCCTTGACATCTTTATGTTCCTCATCTGCAGGTGTAATGGTGAGATTGACTTGAGAGCTTGATGGGGATGGTCCAGCTGGAGTTGTGGCACGCGAGTCCATTGAGGGAGGATCATATGCAATCGTAGTTTCACACCATTTCTCCATTGCAATCTCATTGGCAATGTTAGCACCTGAAAGTGCTCCACAGTATATTCCTAATCCTTCACCGATCCATTCACTGAAAAGACTGATCTCTGAGGCTGTTACATTCACACCCTTGATACAAGAAATTCCACGCGCGAATGGTAGGATATGTCCTTGGAGTTGTTTTGTAATGCGACCGATGAATTGATGAGGAAGATTGAAAATCAAAACCGAAGAGTTCGCAACTGCATCTTCGACAGAAGGGTTGGCGATGAGATTGGTTGGAAGCTGAATGTTTGGCAGATATTTCACATTCTCGTGGTATTTGTTGATAATCGAAGTAAGCTTTTGAGGCGAATGATTGGAGGCGTCGTAGTGTTTCGAGTCTTTTGGTATGGTAACTTCCTCCTCATAAACCCACATCTGAACCTCCTCCTCGAATAGATCGGAATGTTGTTTTGTATTCTCAGCTACAATTTTTGCAATGGTACAGCCCCTAGCAGATATCAACAAAGTGATCGATATTCTTGGACATAGTTTAATTGTAACTTACCAGTTACCAGATCCAACCACCGTCACCTTATGCTTCTTACTCCATGCTCCTAGGGTCGCCATTTTATTGAGTTGAGGGGTATTAAGATGCCGAGCGGTTTGTGCAATCCTTCGAAGAGTTTGATTTGATGCTGCTGTAAATCTTATGAGCATGCACATATGTTATGACGGGAAAAGAGGAGCAAATGTAAAGGATAGTTAGGACACGCAAAGGGAGGCAAAATACCAAGTACTTTGAGACTTTGAGATACCAGAATGTTGAGACAAAAAAAGCCTCGCTTGCTCTTCTGTCACTTGTGATAGCTTGTGAATAGCTCGTGATTGAACCAGAGGGCAGCTGACCGCTTTCGAAATTGGTTTAGTGGATTCTTACAACCATTGTGGCTTTTTCAAAATCCCATGGGAAGCTGTTTTGACGCTGTGCGAGTACCCAAACGACAGCGGGATCCAATAAGCGCTATGGAAGTTGTGGGTGCAAATGCTGTGGAAGTCCAGATAGTGACAAATGACTCGCTGATAATGTTCAGTTGATTAGACATTGGATGAATGTATGAACACAACATGAATAGCTCAACTTGAGCTTGAGAATTGCATTCATGATTGCATGGTTTCTCTATGTTCTCGTGTCAAGGTTTCTGTGCTGAATTGGTGCTGGTGCTGGTGCTGGTGCTGGAGTTGGATTTGGAGTTGGAGTTGGTGTTGTAGGTGGAGAGGAAAATATGAAATTTCCGTATTATGATATAGGTAGGTACTTACACATATTGTCGGTATGAGGACTGTTATCATTCATGACTTTGATAGTTGATTATTTTTTAATTTTTTAATTTTCTTTCCATCGAGATCAAAACAGAGTGAAGTTTATTATTTTAGCAGCCCCTGAACCCCTGGCCTAGCCGTCCGGTATATCTACCTACCTAGGTTAAGGGAGGGAGATACCCGACAACCGACCGAGTGATGGTGTGAAGGAAGTTAATTATCGAACTATGTTCAAGTCTAACTGCTAGGTAGGCGGAGGAAAGAGTGGTATTTGGAAGTAAGTATAATACCGGTATGCAGAGCATTAGGTGGAGGTAGATATTATACTTAGAGTTAGTTTGTAAAGTAGTACTTGGAAGTAGGTGTAGTACACAGAGGAGCCCTACAACTAACTAAACACCTCATCGTATATCTTTTCTCGATCGGTATCATTTCCAAAGCTTATATCGGAATCCGTTCAAGCTTCGTAAGGAAAGAAACTCTACTCTGTACACTATCTCCCTAGTAGATACTCGGAGCAAAGAACAATAAATGGTCTAGACCACGATATATCAACCCCAATACAACCTTGACGCTGCGTACCAAAAAAAAATGGTGAAAAGGTAACAAATCCATTGTTTTGTTGTACCTGACTGTCACTGACTAGGCATTCTTTTTCTCATGACGTATCACATTCAGTTTTTCCATCCTAAATCATTGCAAACTCCTCACAACCAATAGATTCCCTAGTATCTCTGCTAACAAGCCGGGTCTTTCCTATGGTTTGACCAGCATCTTACCCGCGCCCACTCTCCCACCATTATCCCATATGCGAATCTACCCACCAACTCCAAAGAGGCCCCGCTTCCAACCTACCTCTATCAAACCACCAGCAAACACTTGGAAGCTACCTATAACTAACTTACCACTTATCTAAAACTAATGCACTTTCCTATGAGTTTTTCTTAAAAGTACACCTCGACCCCATCCTCCTTCGTTTGATCCATCTCTGTCGTTTTTTTTTGCTTCATATTCTTCTCTCTATCCTCACCTTTCTAAAGCCAGTGACGTCTTTCTGAGTTGTGCCGATCCTCTCTGGAGCCCAGTTCTCCCACAATAATCGCTTTCAATAATATCTAGCTTTGTTGGTTCGCCAAATCTGTAGCGCCAAAGACAATGGTTTCCAACGAAATCTATCTACTCCCTCTCAAGGATGATGGGAGTCCCGATGTATCTGGAGGATATATCTATCTGACACCCAAAGGCACAGAGCCAATAACCGTCCGCTTTGCTATCGAAGGAACATCTTCAATATGTCGAGAAGGCAGTCTCTGGGTGAACATTCCCGAGAAAGGTGTAGAATTCCAAAGAGAACAGTTCCGTGAATTCAAGTGAGTTTTTGCCCGCGAATCTCCATCTATTGCAAGAACTGACTGTATAGGTTGGAACCAGACTTTAATCGTACCATTGAAATCTCGATACCCATTCATTCAGCTGGCGCATTCGCATTTTATACTACATACAAAGCTTTACCGGATTTGGATGATACAAATACCACTCCCATCGAAACCACAAAATCCCCAGTATACTACATAGATGTTGCTCCAACTTTGATGCTGGAAGGCAGGCAACTGCCTTTGCCTGCATTGTCAGTCTTCTCTGTCATTTCAAAATTCATGGGCAAGTACCCCAAGGACTGGGAAAAGCATCTCCGGGGAATAAGTGAGAGAGGTTACAACATGGTTCATTTTACCCCGTTGCAAAAGCGTGGTGAATCAAATTCTCCATACAGTATATATGATCAATGTTCATGGGATCCCGAGTGCTTCCCTAATGGCGAAAAAGACGTCAAAAAACTGGTCAAGAGCATGGAAGACAATCATGGTCTTTTGGGCTTGACCGATGTAGTCTGGAATCACACGGCGAACAACAGCGCATGGCTCGAGGAGCACCCAGAAGTTGGCTACAACGTATCAACAGCACCATGGTTGCGTTCGGCTTTAGAGTTGGACACTAAATTACTAGAATTTAGTAAAGATCTTGCCAAGCTTGATCTCCCAACTACGCTCAATTCTGTCGATGATTTAGTCCAGGTCATGGCAGGCGTCAAAACCGAAGTCATTGCCAAACTCCGTCTATGGGAATACTATGTTATCGAGATTGAGAGGGATGCCGATGCAGTAGTAGAGGCTTGGGCATCTAACAAAATTTCGTTCCCAGAGGGCGGATTCGGTGGATCTGGCTTTGGTGGTTTAGAAGCTATCAAGAATGCCTCCGTTGCGGAACAGGCAACATTTTTGAGAGAAAAAGGAATGCTCAACACAGACAGACTTGGGGAAAGATACAGAAGGAAGGTCAACCCAGAAGTTGGTGCAGCACTGCTCACAGCTTTGTTTGGAAGATTCGAAGGCGATAAATCGAATGGTGCCGATCGTGCCGAAGCTCGAAGCCGTTTGACTAACATTTTGGACGAAGTTAACCTTCCATACTACAAAGAATACGACGTCGATGTTGCTGAGATTCTCGACCAGCTGTTTAACCGCACAAAATATGTCCGTCTTGACGATAATGGCCCAAAACTTGGTCCAATTGACGACAAAAATCCCCTCATCGAATCCTACTTCACCAGATTACCTAAAAACTCCACTACCTCCAAGCACAATCAAGAAGACCTTGCTTTGGCAAACAATGGTTGGATCTGGGCTGCAAATGCACTTATTGACAATGCCGGTCCCAAATCTCGCGCGTATTTGCGCCGTGAAGTTATTGTCTGGGGTGACTGTGTAAAGTTGCGTTATGGAGAATCTCGCGAAGACAGTCCCTTCTTGTGGGACTTCATGGCGAAATACACACGTCTCATGGCGAAATATTTCACCGGTTTCCGTATCGATAATGCACACTCTACACCTATTCATGTAGCTGAATTTCTGCTAGACGAGGCAAGAAGAATCAGACCAAATCTTTATGTAGTTGCTGAACTTTTCACCGGGTCAGAAGAAATGGACTATGTTTTCGTCAAACGTCTTGGTCTAAGTTCACTCATCAGAGAAGCAATGCAGGCGTGGAGTACTGGTGAAGTGAGTCGCCTTGTTCATCGACATGGCGGTAGACCCATTGGTAGCTTCGAGGTCGACGAAGTATCAGGTGCAGAACAGAAGACACCCCATGGTCGATCCAACGGATCGACACCCGGCAAAGAAATTATTCGCACCATCAGATATACTCCAGTTCATGCTCTCTTTATGGATTGTACCCATGACAACGAAGTTCCAGCTCAAAAACGTGATGCTCGGGACACTTTACCAAATGCTGCATTGGTTGCCATGTGTTCCAGTGCCATTGGTAGTGTCATGGGTTACGATGAGATTTATCCTAAACTAGTCGAAATCGTTCATGAAACGAGATTATACACTTCTGCTTCTTCCGAAATGGAAGTCAAGATAGGAGCTGGCGAAGGTGGTATTGGTGGTGTCAAGAAGCTTCTCAATCAAATCCATAGTATTATGGGCAAGGACGGGTACGCAGAAACATACATTCATCATGAAGATCAGTATATTACTGTTCATCGAGTGCATCCTGAATCTAGAAAGGGTTACTTCCTTATCGCACATACTGCTTTCCCTGGTTATGGCAACGGAAATGGAGGTTTCAATCCGGTTCATCTTGGAGGCACTAAAGCGAGCCATCTTGGCAGCTGGATGCTAGAAGTCGACACTTCTGAAGAGGCAAAGAAGGAGGCATTAGAGGACAAGAAGTATCTGAAAGGATTACCTAGCAAAGTTTCTAATCTTCCTGGAGTCCGTATGGAATACAAAGATGGAGAAACAACAATTTCCGTCCGAGACAAATTTCCGCCCGGAAGTATTGCATTGTTCGAGACTTGGATACCTGCTGCCGAGCATGCAACTGGTCTCGATACATTTGTCACCTCGGGAGCAAAGGCAGCGTTCTCAGAACTGGACTTAGTCGATTTGAACGTCGTCCTTTATAAATGTGAGGCGGAAGAGCTCGATGCTAGTGAGGGTAAAGATGGAGTATATGATATCCCTGGCCATGGTAAACTCGTGTATGCTGGTTTACAAGGTTGGTGGAGTGTGCTCAAGAATATCATCAAAGACAATAATCTGGGACATCCCATGTGCAACCACTTGAGAGAGGGACAATGGGCCCTTGACTATATCATCGGTAGATTGGAGAAAATGTCAAACAGATCCGGCTATGAACGACTTCAAAAGCCAACGGCTTGGTTGAAGGAACGTTTTGATGCGATTCGAAAAATGCCAAGCTTTTTGCTCCCCCGTTACTTTGGTCTAGCCATTCGAACTGCT